TCACGATTAACGTTCGAGACAAATTTAGCGATATAGTCTTCATAATGTTGTATGTGTATTCATCATATGCGTCGCTGTTGTATGATCTCATTAGAAAAAGAAGGTACGATCGCCTAAGCTCGGCTCCGCTCACAGATCAGCAAAGAGTTTGCGGAACGATGTTGAAAAGAGGCAACTGCTATGCGCGACCATCCAGGTCCTCTCTCTTTCAAGCTTAGGGCCTCTATTATTCACAGGGATAGCTGATGTCGCAGATCCCTATCGGGGCGCCCGCCCGGCGAAGTCGGAAGCTGCAGCACAGCTGGGCCGGGACGGAGCGCGCCCGGCGGGGCTGCGGGGCTGCGGGGCGTGGGGGTCGCTCCGTCCTCCAGGGTCGCCGTGAGGCTCAGGCGAGAGGCCACGGGAGATGTGGGGACGTGTTAGAAGAGAAAAACAAACGAAAAAAAAACCCACAAAAAATATATATGGGGGAAATGAACTTTTTTTTTCATTGAACCAAGTGCAATGCATCAGAGAGTTTTCCTATCTTTGTATGTTAAGAGATTGTTAAGAAAAATTCTATTTTTGTTGTAATGTCCTCGCGGCTCTGGGGACGCTAAAAGAACCGGGCCTGCCCCGCCCTTTGCGGGGATAACGAAAGCTGAGTGTTTTTTTCTTTTTTTTGTTTTGTTCGTTTCAGGTTTTTTTTTTCTTTTTGTTTTTTTAAGTCGTTTTCCTGCGTTGACAAGGATGATCTGGGGTTTTTATTTGTTTCGCCGTTCGTTCTCAGTTTCGGTGGGAGGGCTGAAGGAAACGTTCACATTTTAGAATTTAAAAAAAATAAAAACACCTGATTTAAAAAAAAATCAACACAAGATCTCAAAGGAAAAGGACGAGAGAAAAATATTTTTAAGATAATTCAACATAAAACCCTGGTGCTTCTTACATTATAAAGTACGTTTTTAAAGACCCACAAACTATTATACATAAGTTTATGATCAATTAAATATCCTGCACTTGTTAGGAACACGCATATCCCTTCTTTGTTGAGTTTAACGGAACGGGACAGCGGCGTGCGCCCAGCGGCGGGGCTGCTCTGGCCGCGGGTCTCTCCGGGCGCCTCCTCCTCGGGGCCCAGCGCCCCCACCTCGCCCCACCTCCCCCTCCCGGTCCTGGGGCGCGGCGGGGGGCCCCCAGTCCCTACCCCGCAGAGGTCAATGCCAACGAACAAATGTCCCCTCCCTCCCTCCCCGCCCTGAGCGCCCTTCTTTGAGCCAGACGCCAACTTGACCCTCACCAGCATTATCAGGAGCGCGCTCAGCAAGTTGGTAGTTCCCTCCCCGGCGCCCCCAACTCAACATCACTCCTCCCACCCACCCCCACCCCGCCACCCTCCGGGGAGCACGGGAAAGGCTCGACGCTCCAGGACAGGACCAGCCAAGCGGGCAGGTCGATTCGCCCAGGCCTGCGCGCGCACGCACGCACACGGCCCCGCACACAGCCCCCCC